CGAATCTTATTTATACAAAGTTTTTTTGTAAAAAAATTATAAGTTTTGGTAATAGTATCTAATTCATCAGCTGTAGTTTGCATCTAAATATAATTATAATTTTAATTAATTTACCATCACTACAATATTATTTTTTATTACTATTTGATTAATTATTATTAATTATTTATTAAATTTATAGGTACTTTTGATAATAGAAGTTTAATGATTATTTGTATGAACAAAAGCCAAGCAATTGTATGGAAAAATATTGAATGTTTTCAAATTGATATGGTATTTAAAAGAGTACGTGAAAACATAAATGAATTTGAAATTAATAATTATTGTGAAAACTATAATCAAAGTATAAAAATTTTATTTATTTAATTTTAATAAATATATAAATTATATTAAATTATATTATTTTAATTATTAAACTATAATTATAGGTATACTAATGCCTCAACTTCTAAAACATATTGTCTAATTTTTACAAGTTTATGGCATCATTTTAAAATATTAACAGAAGAGTCTCCAATGATTAATTATATTCACAATAAAGGATGGAAGTATATACTCGGAGATTTAGATCAAGAGCAGGCAAAAGAATTAGGATTAGCATTAGCTAATATTGAACCAAAGTATACCTGAAATGAACATTTAACATATATTTTTAAAAGTTGCAAAGTACATTTTTTTAGGTAAATTAAATTTTTTTTTATTATTTACATATTATAAAAATTTAAATTAAATTAAATAACCATAATTAATTTATTAGAAATATTAATACTTGTGAACGAAATAATAATATAAAACAATTAATGATAGAAATTTCTACAGCTACAACAAAATTACGAATTGAAGAAATATTTGAAACTCTTAAAAAAATCAATACTGAAAATCTTGAAGGTAAAATGTTAAATTATTTTTTATTGATATACTTATACAGTATTTAAATTAAAAAAATTAAATTTTAGGATAGATCAAATTTTATTCAACTGATTGGATTATTGCTTCTTTAAATTCAACTTTTTCAAATATTCTAATTTATACATGGTATTCTACTCGGCATGATACAAATGTAGCAGAAAGTAGTTATGCACGAGTAAATCAATATGGAACAAATTTATGCCTTCGAGTAGCAATTCAAAAGTAAATATTATTTATTTATTAATATAATATAATATAACATTAACTTGATTATTTATAATTTAGAGGTTATTTGGAAGATCAAAGAACTTTTAATTCACAAGATATCATAACTTATCCAAATTATTAAGTGAAGAATGTATTTCAGTAAAAAGATCTTTACCAAAATATGCTTTTAATAAATTACTTGACATAATTTTTTTTTGGCGTAATTTTTTTAAATATTTGTGTTGCTTCATTAATTATATGTTCTAAGTTTACTTAAATTCCAACTGGAATATTAGTTGGAGGTGGCAGTGAATGAGTATGAATTCCTTTACAAATTAAAACAACAAATAGTATTGTTGTTATATCTAAAGGAACAAGCTTAATAAATTGAACATTGCAATTCAATTTAATAATTTTTCCTTTTTGTTTTATTCCTTCATTAGATAAATGAAAAAATGCTAATATAATATTATTTAAAATTAGCTATAAATAAATATTACAAATTTAAAAAATCTAAAAATAATTATTTACTTACAATATTCTTTTTTACGAATCCTTGTAAATAATACTGTACAACAATTTTCTGCTACTTTATTAAATAAGGTAATCTAAAAATAAATTTAAATTTATAAATTAATTAAAAATATTATAAATCAAGTATAAAATTATTTTTAACTTACAGGTTTTCCTCTAAACAACTTTTCTAATATTGTAATATTAATTTCATCACAATTTAATTTATAATGAAAATGTTTTTGTCCTGGAGACCAAGCTGAGCATCCAATAAAATATGATAGAATATCATTATCTGATTTTTTTTCTATACTAACAAACTTGAGCTTTGCCTACACATGTTTCAAAATTATATGGACAATGAATATTTGCAAATACCATATATTTTCTATAATAAATTAAAGTAAAAAATTAATTAAATTTAACTAAAAATTTAAAAAGTTAATATTATATAATTTCTTACGCATGTATTTTAGCTTCTTTTAAAGTTTGTAAATCAGTAGGTTGATTTAATTTATAAAAATCAATACTTTCATCTACTTCAGTATGTTGTGTTTCTTTTAATTCACATGAAACAAATTCACAAACTTTAGCTCCAGTACAAATTCGAACAGATTTGTTTACTTTACACCCTAAAAATTCACATTCTATAATTTTTTTACCACCACCATCACCCATATTATATTGAATCTATTTATATAGAATTAAAATTTAATTAAATTATTTAACTATAAAAATATTAATAAATTTAAATTTAAACTTATATCTAAAAATGCAGTATTATGATCATTCCATCTGGAAATATTATAAATAATTGCTGTACCTTCTAAGGATGTTAGTGGATATTCAATAGGTATTGGAGAATATCGAATCTTATTTATACAAAGTTTTTTTGTAAAAAAATTATAAGTTTTGGTAATAGTATCTAATTCATCAGCTGTAGT